ACCGTGTATGTGATGGCAGGAAATTAATTTCAGAAAGTAAATGTTATAACTCGTGAATTTGTAAAAATAACAAAGATAATTGCACTATGAAAATTAGGGAAGAGGGAAGATTACCACAAAATAAATGAATTGCTCATCCTATTAAACATCTTTCAATTTTCCCTCAATAGTAGTCAACAGATACTCTTCTGAATTGATAAATATTAAAGCATATCACACAGCGTTGTATAAGGAACCTGCAGAAAACCTAAAACCAAAAAGATAACTAATAATAGAGTTTGAAGTGAGAAGTGGAGAATTAATAGAAACTGTCAGGTTGATAAATCATGAACTATAGGTTGAATTATATTATGTAAAATTATATAGGTAACCACTTAACCACATAAAAGCAATAAATCTTTAACTAAAGGATTGCACATATATCAGGAGGAGCAGGGAAATAAAATCCAAAAGAGAATGCAAAAGAAATGTCAATTTCAGATGTTGAAAAAATATTAAACCAAATATATCAGCAATATGTATTAAAAATATAAGTGCAGATCCAACATAAACCTAAAAAAAGTACCTCAAAAAAGTTAAACATAAAATTGAGTATAAAATAATAAGAAGTACATATTGATCTGTGTCTCCAGTTTCTGACACAGAGCTCCAAATACCCTTGTAATTTCCTGAGTGATGGGGCACTGGGAGCATCTTTTGTTCTAATATTGGTTGGGAGCATCTTTGACTGGTACGGAGTTCCTGGTATGGAGCTTCCAATCCCTTGGAATTTCCTGGGTGATAGGAGCATCTTTTGTTCTAATGAACTACTCTTGGTGGAATCCTAGATGAGGGCTGGTCACCTGAAAGACCAAGCCATGGTTAGAAGCTTGGAACTTTCAGCCCCACACCCCATCCTCTAGGGAGGAAAGAGGAGCTGGAGATTGAATCAATATTATCATTCATGCCTACATGATGAAGCCTCCTTAAATATTCCTAAGTACAGTTGCAGGAGCTTCAGGGTTGGGGAACACATTTGTGGTGCTCCTGGAGAGGCCATGCCCACCCCCAACGTCTCTTTTCCTATTATAGTCTCTCCCATTTGGCTGTATTCTTTATAATAAGTGGATAAACATAGTAAAGTGTTCCCCTGTGTTCTCTGAGCTGTTCCACCAAATGACTGGATCTAAGAAGGGGGTCGTGGGAACCTTCGATTTATAGGCAAGTTGGACAGAAGCTGTGGGTGACCTGGAGACCCACCACTTGCAACTGGCATCTGGAGCGGGGCAGTCCTGGGAATTGAGCGCCTCCCCTGTGGGGCTGGCACTAACTCCAGTTAGTGTCAGAGCTGAGCTGAACGGTAGGACACCCAGCTGGTGCTGGAGAATGGGTTGGCGTGGGGAAAACCCACACATGTGGAGACGGGAGGTGTCGTGTGAACGTAAGAATGAACGAGGGAGGCATCTCAGCAAAACAAATCAGTGGGGCTGGTTTTAAAAGCAGATAAATGTGAATTCAAGGTAAATACTGAAAATAGAGTGCAAATCCGGTATTAATCGTTAAACGTCCTATGGTAAATGGAAGGATATTAAAGAGGAATGCTGCTGACAGGGAATGTGGCCCCGGCCAGGCCAGTGAGCAAAGCCGGGGGTGGAGCTCCCAGACACCTGCCCAGGTCGTTCTCAGAGAGGGATCCATTCACAGACGCTGATCATACAAACCCCTCAGAAACCCCTCAGCACATTACAATATTAGAAATAGTACAAAAGGCTTAAAGCATGAGGTGATATAACTAGAAATTAATTTTTAAGTTAAAAAATGTGGACATTTTAAAATACTCAGCAAAGCTCAGTTCGGGCTGGTCTGAGTGCAGTGGGGTGTACAAGGAATTGATTACAAACAGTTACAGGTTTCTTTGCTCCTTTTCCATTTCCACTGCTGCTTCACCTGACTAGCCTTTATTTAAAAAGTCAGTTCAAAGAAGATACAACAATTCAACTTACAGAATATCCAGAAAATACAAATGAAAACATTGCATATTAAGACGTATGGACTGCTGTTAAGACTTTGATCAGAATAAAATACAGACCCGAAAATACTTATCTGATTAAATAAGAATAATTGGAAACACACGAATTAGGCATCTACTGAATAACTTAGAAAAACAACAAAATAAAAGCAGAAGAGAACCGGCTGGGCACGGTGACTCACGCTGGTAATTTCAGCACTTTGGGAGGCTGAGGTGGGTAGATAAACTGAGGTCAGGAGTTTGAGACCAGCCTGGCCAACATGGCGAAACCCTGTCTCTACTAAAAATACAAAAAAAAAAAAAAAATTTGCCGGGAGTGGTAGCGGGTGCCTGTAATCCCAGCTACTCAGGAGGCTGAGGCAGGAGAATTGCTTGAACCTGGGAGGTGGAGGTTTCAGTGAGCCAAGATGACGCCATTGCACTCCAGCTTGGGCAACAGTGTGAGACTTCCTCTCAAAAAAAAAAAAAAAAAAAAAAAAGTAAAAGGAAGGTATAACATGGCTGAATCTTGAGGACATCTTATTTCATGCTAAGTGAAATAAGTCAGTCACAAAAGGACAAATACTGTATGAACCCACTTGTATCAGGTACCTAGTCAAATTTATAAAGACCAAAAGGAGGCCAGGTGAGGTGGCTCAGGCCTGTAATCACAGCACTTTGGGAGGCTGAGGCAGGCAGATCACTTGAGGCCAGGAGTTTGAGACCAGCCTGGCCACCAACATGGTGAAATCCCATCTCTACTAAAAATACAAAAAAAATTAGCCGGGCTTGGTGGTGTGCACCTGTAATCCCAGCGACTCTGGAGGCTGAGGCACGAGAATCACTCGAACCCAGGAGGCAGACGTTGCAGTGAGCAGAGATTGCGCCACTGTATTCTAGCCTGGGTTACAGAATGAGACTGTCTCAAAAAAAGAAAAAAAAAAAAAAAGACCAAAACGAGAATGATGGTTGCCAGGGGCTGGGGGAGGGCGAATGGGAGGCTGATGTTTGATAGAGACAGGGTTTCAATTTGGGAAGATGAAAAGAGTTCTGGGAATATGTGATTGTGAGAATTGTACAACAATGTGAATGTATTTAATGCCACTGAATGGTACACTTAAAACTAGTTAAAATGATAAATTTTACATTATGTATATGTTACCAAAATTTAAAAATATACAACTTTTTAAAAAGTAAAATAGAATGAAAATATTAATAATAAAAGCAGAAAACTAAGAATTACAAAACGCACCTGCAGAATTTGTTGATGGGAAGTATTAATCAGAAGGTGAACACACAGAACTCTAACACAGCAGCAGAGGAAATGGTAAGAAGGCCATTGGCAGGAAAAAAAAGGAAATTTAGAAAGCAGTGCAAAATGCTACATGTGACGGCGGAGAGAAGACAAGAAAGAGCGTGGAACTGCAGCACTGCTGAAAGCGTGCACTCCCGAGGCGGGCTGTGTGCAGACACGGGGGGTGTCTCGCCACAAAGAGTTTAAGAAAGAGTCTGTGGGCCGCAGCCCCAGGGGCCATAACTTCGAGACCCCTTCCCCAACTCAAGACAAGCTATGGCATTAGAAGGTCAAACACAGATGGAGATGAAGTAAACAGTAATTAGAAAAGGAGCCATCCATGGTGAGGTCAGAAATACTCTGATGGACGGAAGGTCTACGGAGGCTGGGAAGGGTTTGTGCCACATAAAAAATGAAGGAATGAGAAAAAGTTAAATTATGTAAGAGTTACTTCCTGAGGTGTGCACCCCCGGAGGGCTCTGCTTAAAGCTTCTGTCAGTCATTTCTCCAACTCGCTGGGGTCCCCATGAGTGCACTGACCAGCTACATCTAACCCACCCGTGCTGCCTCAACTCGTTTGTCCCACAGGCTCCCAGGGCCAGGGGAAGGGCTAGACCGTGTCTTGGGCCCAGCACTGGCTGGAGAAGCACATGCAACAATGGTGGCTTCTGCTGCGCTGGCCCACTGCTGTCACCTGGGAGGGCTGGGTCAGCACAGGGGACCCCCCAAGACCCTGAAGACAGGTCCCCAGACTGCAAAGTCTAAGGGTCCAGTGTCTAAAAATATGAACCAGTAAAACTCATGGCAAGCTAAATCAATAGGCACAGGAGAAAGTAGAAATGCACACAATTACAAATGGAAAAAGGAGAAATAACCACAAATAGAGGAAAGAAAACACTTGAAGTGCCTATATTGCAAAACTATGCAACTATGTTAAAAAGTGGATGGAATATTATTTTTAAAATGTAACTAAAATGGACTCTAGAAGGGTTTGAGGACCTAACCTGAGGAGCAAAAATCCAGAAATATACCACAGCAGGCCCAGACAGCCCCACCTAGTTCTTCCACACTTAAGTGGAAAATAATTCAAAATCAATAGATGGTTGTAGAATAGAGAGGTTTTTGTTTTATAATATTTCTTTAAGTTAGCATAAAGTTAAATCAAATCTGGGCCAGGCGTGGTGGCTCATGCCTGTAATCCCAGCACTTTGGGAGGCTGAGGCGGGTGGATCACGAGGTCAGGAGATGGAGACCATCCTGGCTAACACGGTGAAAACCCGGTCTCCACTAAAAAATACAAAAAAATTAGCTCAGTGTGGTGGCATAGCCTGTAGTCCCAGCTACTCGGGAGGCTGAGGCAGGAGAATGGCGTGAACCTGGGAGGCGGAGCTTGGAGTGAGCTGAGATCAGGCCACTGCACTCCAGCCTGGGTGACAGAGTGAGACTCCGTCTCAAAAAAAAAAGTTAAATCTGGGCAAAAAACACATAAAAGCAAGCTGTAGAATGATGAATCTTAATTATAAATATTGAAAACCAAAATCATGGTACTAGTAAGTAAAGAACATCTCAGGAATACACTAATGATTTGGTCTTAAATATTCTATTAATGTAATTAAACATACTACTAGAGCAAAGGAAAAGACCTTCTGATAATCCCTCTGGACACTGAGAAGGCTTTGATAAAAATCTAACATCTATATTTTCCTCAGAGAGTCTTAATAGTTTGAGAACACACAGATACTTTTTTATTATGGCAAGGAAAATACATGTCTTCATACAAGTTAAACGTTGAGACATTACAACGTCCCACTGATGTCGAGAACAAGATAAGCATGCCACCTGAATCACTGACTCAACACTGATCTCAAATGCAACTAGATACAAGAAATAAGAGACACATTGGAAAGAAGTCAGAAGTAAATCTTAGAAACAAGTAGGAATCACAGTTTGTGGTTGATTATAACATTCATACATAAAAACCAACTACTTTCTTATACAATGGGATAAAATAGAAAATAAAGTGGAATAAATCATTCCATTGAAAATGGTAGCCAAATGATAAAACATCTGGAAATAAACAACTATAAATTCAAAGCACCTTCATGAACAAAATCATAAAACACTACTAAGTTATATAAAATTAGACTTAAACACAAGATTTCGTGCTGTTGAATAGGAAGACTCAATCTGTAAATTCACTGTGACTCTAATTGAAAAAAAGATTCATATGAGAGATTGAGTTGAAGGAAGTGTTGACTTGAAAATACTGATATGAGTATGAATAATGCTTTAGAAATTAAAGGCATTCATAGAGATAAATAGAACAGAAATAGAACCAAACACTTAAAGAAATTTAGTTTACAAATAAGGCTGCATTTTGAACAGCTGGGGAAAACACTATGACTGGATTTTAGAAATGCATTATTACATAGTTATTGATACAACTGACCACCATTTGGAAGAAAAAGTATGGATTTTTCCCTCATTTCCTGCAATAAATGAATTCCAGGGAGTCCGAAGGTAAACAAATAAAACCATAAAGTTTCAGAAGAAAATGTGAGTAAGTTTATTTATCATCTCAGAATGAGGAAGGCTTTTAAAAACTGGAAACAAATCCCACAACTGACAAAGAAAAATACTGATAAATTGACAACATAAATATTTAAACTCTATGCCAATAAATAAGGAAATCAATAAATAACATCCAAAGACAAATGATAAACAAAAATATTTTAAAGGCATAAGACAAAAATGTCCCGAAGTACATGAGCAAATTAATTAAGAAAAAGCCAAATAACCCATTTAGGAACTGGGTAAAATATATAAATGTATCCAGAGTAAAATTACAAAAAATTTGAAAAGATGTCCCATTTTATACACAATAAAATAAACCAAAATCAGAATAATATTCCTAAATATCATGTGTCACCAATTATATTGGGAAAAACATTAAGTTTGAAAATGCCCAGTGCTATTATAGAAAGTTGAGAAATTGGGCCTTTTATTGTACTCTTGATGGAGTTACATCCATTGATCAGTTTCTAGAAGATGATCTGGCAATATCTATCAAAATTTTAAATACATGTAACCTTAAACCCAGTAATTTCATTTCTAAGTTGGAATTCATACCAAGTTTTAGTCACAAAACAATGTCAAGATATATGTACAAGTATGCCAATTATAGATTTGTATATAAAAATAAAAACTGGAAATATCCATATGTTCGCCAGTAAAAGGCTATTCAAATAAATGATAGTCCACTGAGACAATGGAATGCTAAGCAGCTACTAGGAGGCATGAGGTAGATCTTTATGTGTTACTATGGGATGACCTCTAAGACAAAACCATGTGAAGAATGCAAGGTGCAGCGCACTTCACAGAGCGCTAGCGCTGGAAAGGGAAGGTCTCTTCATAACCCCCGTTCCTCCTCCTTTGGCCTCTTATCTTCTTTTCTTCCTTTCTAGAAATGCCCTTAGAAGCATCATTCGTGGTCCCCTCTGAGAGAGAAAACAGGGAGTATGGGAGCGTGTTGTTTTTAATACTTTTCTAACTATGCGCACATCTATTTCTTATTATTACTTTATTAAATGACAGAGTAGTTATTTGAGGGGCCAAAATATGCACAACTTTTGTTTGCATTTTATAGGTTCCTGTATAACATACAAAACCAAAAAGGTTTCTTTTTAAAGCAAAACTGTGGAAGGGATCATTTTTGGGATAATGATAAGAAACGAAGCATTCCTTTTATGTATCAAAACACTTCTTGTTTCTAAAGACACTGTAACAGGAAAAACAAAAACAAAAACAAATGAAAATCTTGTGCATGGTTCATCCATAGCACGTGGATGGAGTGCCTGCTGAGGAAGATCCTACTCCAAAGCCGCCTGAGGCTGGAATGTCCTGATTCACCAACTTTCTCATAAGTGAGGTCTCTTCTCTTGTCACACACACAGGTACCTCACACTTAAACACACACACACCCCAAACACACACAAGCTTCCATCTTCCTCCACTGCAAAGTCACGTGCATTACCCAGAAATGAGTGGGCCAGATGGCTGGAAAAACACATACAATTTATTTAATTCTCAAAATCAAATCTTCCTCATGATGTTCCCATCTCAGGGATTAGAAGCAAATTAAAAATCTCTAGGGGCTCAGATGCCTTCTACAGTTTTGAGCTCTGAGCAGCTGTTGGATGGCACAATGGAACAGAAGAGGTCTTTCTTGGTGAATTACCCTCTGATCTCATTAAAGAATAAGAATGAGACCATCCAGGCTAACACGATGAAATCCTATCTCTACTAAAAATACAAAAAATTAGCCAGGCGCAGTGTCGGGCGTCTGTATTCCCAGCTACTGGGGGAGGCTGAGGCAGGAGAACGGCGTGAACCCAGGAGGTGGAGCTGGCAGTAAGCCAAGATCGCGCCACTGCACTCCAGCCTGGGTGACAATCTAAGGGAAGAGCTGCATCATCGCTTAGGTTTAAAAATGAAAGTTTCTCTTGTTTTCAAGTTGCCCACCTCCAGTGAATCCACCCAAGGACTCTGAGCCAGCTTTCGGGGCTGCAGCTGGGGTGGACGGGCTTGGAGCAGGCAGACTCCCAAAAGTCAGAACCCAGACTTGCTGGCTTGTCAGTCACTGAGGGTCTGCCAGTTCTTCCCTGCTGCCTGCCACTGGCCAGGTATCCAGAGAAGGGATGGGCCACACCATCCCGTCCCTGGCGCCTGCCATACTGGGGACCAGAAGAGTTCCCAGCCCCTACTTCCTAGCCCTGACACATGCAGAAAAGGCCTAGGAATATGTTCATTTTATGTTGTGCATTTGTAGGCACACACACATTTCTAAGACTAATTAAGTCCAGTGCATGTGAATCAGCTAACACATTGTTGTTTTTAAAGCCTGCATAAATGGCTTCACTTAGCTTTAGCTATTCTTTTGGGCTGTTAATTCTACTAGAACTCTATTTGTCCTGTGGGTTCTGCAGAATAGAACAGATTTGCTCAACTCCTCAGTCTCTGAGAGCAGCACCTAGGAGTTACCTGGGGTCCACCAGAGACACTCATGGGGCCTGGCCCTTGTACAGAATAAACAGAAACCTGTGTCCCTTTCATTTCCTTGACAGGGTAGGTTTGCGGAAGTCAGGAAGGCTGGTAAAAAGATCCTTAGTAAGACCAACATTGTCTTTTATTATTATTTTTTTTTAACGTACGAACAGCATAAAGCTGCTTCTGTCTACCAACTGTCTCTGATAGAAAAAAATAACTTGAAGAAAAGCTAACAGAGTGTTTTAGTTTTAGTTTTTTGTTTTCCTTCCACCAGTAAATTATTGGAATGGATTTAGTGAGTCTGGTTTATTTTAGCTTCAATCTAGGTTTGTACACAAGCAAAAAGCAAATGTTGAATTTTCAGGTAGGCCTTCATGGCAAGTGGCATGCAGACATGCAAAACCAACTGTCCCGGGGTGAGGAGCCACTGGGAGCTCTCTGAAGGGCTTTCCAGGCAGTGGGCTAATGGGCAAAATGACTTCTCAGTGGCCCTGCTGACCGACAGTGCGGATGTGCCAAGGGGATCATCAGCCCACCTGAGCGTATTAAACTGAGTGCTGAGATCCTACTACCTAAAGTAATGAGGAAACCGTGAGCGACACGACTGACAGCCAGAAGGGAACATCGGAGTTGTGGCGTTTAATGTTGTCCTGGATTAGCACCCCAAAATCTCACCAAGCCAAAGGCCTTGCCCATCTGTGAGTTTTCCACATGTACAGAACCAGGCGTGGTTACGCAAAGTCTTTGGACACGGCCTCCACGAAGTTGGGAGCCGACATCAGGATGCCGATGGTGCAGATGATGGTGAAGACCGAGAAGGCCATGAGGCACAGGCGGTCCACCACGCAGGCGGCGAACTTCCACTCGCTGCAGACCGCCTCGCTTTCGTCCTGGCAGCGAAAGCGGTTGGCGATGTAGCGGACCTCCTCCAGGATCTTGGCCAGGTCCGGGTCCCCCTCGGGGGGCTGCCCACCGTGCAGGAGGTGCTCGTCGTGCGTGGGGGAGCAGGCCATGCGGCCGCACACCACCCCGGAGTCGGGGGTCGGGGCGCAATGCATGCCGTCCAGGCCGCGGAAGCCGATGTACAGCAGGTTCCCGTTGCTGGCGGGCGGCGGCGCCACGGCGCTCATCTCCACGCTGGCCAGGCTGCAGCGGCGCTGCTTGTGCTGGCAGGCCGGGCGCACCTTATCCTCTCCCGGCCTCTTCATGCGCAGGAACCACGCGCACCAGTTCAGAAGGATGACTCTGGTCTGGGGAGACAACAGAACGTTAGGAGCGGCCCCGAGGCAGGCTTCGGCTGATCCCAACAGCAGTGAGATCCTACAATACAAGCCCTGCTTCACTGGTCCTGGGGGTAGCAGGCTCCACTGCCTCCCGGATGATTTTAGCAGGCAAGCAGTGCCTGCTCATGACAAGCAGTTGAGTTCAAAGTGAGGCGAGACTAAAACTGATGCACCCTGGGAAGAAGCTAAATTGTTCTCCGGGGCAGGCACACTGCAATCTCAGGGAAGACAGCCTCGTGGAAGGGGAACGCTATGTGAGCTGTGTCAAGAGGGAAAGTCGATTTCCCTCTCTGATCCTTCCTCATCTGTAACCTGGGGACCTTCAGACCTAACTCTGGCTCCCACACTACCTGTTAGGTGCCCTGGAAGGCCACTGCAAATAGGCAAAGAGTGCCTGGGCGGCTGTAAATGTTCAAAGGCAACCCCAGGACATCCATGAGACACCAGGTGAACTTGAAGCTTGAAGCAGTTCAGGCTTCCGACATCAGATTACCACATCTCTTGTGATGATGTGAACACTTTGCAAAGCTGTTTTTCAAAGTACCCTGATAAAAAGCAAACACCAAGGAACTTCCTGTGAAACAGAAACTAGGTTAGTGGTCTCCAATCTGATCCCAAGATTTGAGAGGCGGTGCTGTGCCCCAGAGGTGCTACATTGTTAAGGCATGAAAACTTATTAAAGTCTTTTGATCTATTTAAAGGCAGCCTTGGGTATTATTTCTCTTGGCCAGGGGCTCTGTGAAAAATTTCCTGAGACACTAAAGTGCTGTGAACCAAGGAAGTTTCGGAACCTCTAACCTAACTCAGTGGGCTTCAATGAAGACTGAATAAGATGATGTCTGGGAGAGTACTTTGAAAAGTGGAAGGTGGAAGTTGGCAAACTTTCTGTAAAGGGCCAGGCAACTACTCACTTCTGCTGATGTAGCACACGTTGAAGGCGTCAAATGGATGGGCATGTTTTCTAAAATAACTTACTTACAAAAACACTTGGTGGACTGGATTTGGCCACCCAGGCCAGTTTGCTAACTTCCGGTCTAAAGTGTGTCCTAGAGTGCACGAAAGAAGCTGGAGAAAAATCACCCCATGGAGTTCATCCTGGTTTTGCCTCTCATGGAAAGGAGAGAGACATCCAAAGCCTCAATCCAGGTAAAGAAGCATTCTTGCAAGCCCATCCAGGTAAGTGTGTGAAAAATGGGCCCTTTCCCTGAAATTATCCAGATCCTGATTTCATTTACATTTTGTTTTATGATTGTGGGGAAATTCCATCAGTAACCTAGCAGGTAGATTTCCTATCTTTAGGAAATATACAGATAGTAAATTGTGCAGTTCGTATCTACAGAGCTTTCATTCCTGGTAATCTTTTTATAACATCTTATCAAAGATAACAGCAACAAACAGGTTTGGGGACAAGAACAGGGAAGCATGCAGTTTCATTGCAGCTATAAAAATAACCCTTCGTTTCCCATTGTACTTGACAAGCAGGCGGCACTCTGCATGTCCTGGAAAGGTTGGGTCTGCTGACCTCAGAGGGTTTTTTATGATCAGTAAGGAGCAGGGACATATGGCCCCATGTGAAACCTTGGGTGAGTTGGGCCCTCCATACGAGGCTCATGAGACAAGTCATCTCACTTGGGCCTTTCAGGGTCCTGTGAAAGGAGTATAATCCCCCCACTTTATAGACCAACAAACTGAGGTTCAAAGAGGCTAATAAACTGGCCCAAGGACATACAATGAGTAAGTAAGTGGTTATGTCACTTCACATGTTTAGCCTTTCCCAGCCTCATCTGTCAAAGGGTCTACAAGATTCTCTTCAAAACTTGTGCAACCCCACCCCTCTGGGAAGGCACCAGAAAGCCTGAGCCAGCTCTCTCGGGGGCTGCAGGGCAGTGAGTGTGCCTGCATGCACTGGCAGCTGTGCACATGGGGAGCGAGCAGCACCAGGCACTTCTCCCTCCATGCAGGGTCTACACGTCCCCCAGTGCACATCTCAAGCTCATACGATACACACTGCCAAGTCTACTTTGAATTCCATGGCCTGAATCATTAGCTTTCAAAGCCCAAGCATTTAAAAGATAAAATTATCCTCTTGGCACTCCTCAAACTGTGCTCTTGACCTCTTCTGTTAGGTTACAGTTTTGTTTCTGGCTGTGCAAATGTCACATAATGCCACCGCACCCGGTAGTATCTTCTTCATGGCAACAGATCATAATAAAAGTCCCTCGGAGGCTGTTTGTGTTTCACATACACATGGAATGAAGGAAAAATGCAGTGTGCTATATAAAGCGAGAGAAATGCATAAGCTTCATCTTTCATTTGCAGCCAACTGGTTTTAATAAGCTTTTATGCTGAGAGGTGAATAATTAGCATATGTTCTTAATTAAGATTGTTCTAGAGCAGTAGAGTGCTACAGGTCATTAAAAATGGTTTCGTGTCTCAATGTCTTAATTTTCTTATCTTCTCATCAGTCAAAATATAAGAAATGAGAATAGGTGTTTAGATTTTTGTATTTGCATAAATAAATACTGGAAGGAAAAAGAAGGAATTCATTACAATGGTTATATACCAATCGGTATTGGTGGTAGATGCAGGGTAAGGGGAAGGAATGGGAGCAGGATTTCCTTATGTATAATTTTAATTTTATTTAGACTTTAGAAACAGGTAAATGTATTACCTGCTTCAAACTGATGGATGGATAGGTAGAAAGAGCAGTAAACCAGCAAGCCCCCAGCTCTCAGGCCTCCCACCTCTGGCCTTGCATTTTGTTAAGTGTGTCAGGGTTATAAGGAAATCAGACAAAAATACAGGTGAATGTGTGCAAATGTACTCCGGTGTTTTAAGCCGGCGGGGGCTTCACAAAACAAGCCTCAGGGAACATAGTGATGTGGTCTGTGTGTGCGATGTCACCATGTAGGCTGAGCTCACATTACTTAATGAGCTACAAGTGAGTCCTTCTTTTTTTTTTTTTTTTAAGAGATGGGGTTTTGCTCTGTCACCCGGGCTGGAGGGCAATGACATCATCATAGCTCACTGGAGCCTGGAGCTCCTGGGCTCACATGATGCTCCCACCTCAGCCTCCCAGGTAGCTGGGACTACAGGCACACACCACTATGAGAGGCTTACAAGTAAGTCTTCACTAAAGAGTGTATAAGGGGAATGGGCCATGCAGGTGCAACTCTGAGAAGAAACAGTAATTTTGTAAAGCATTTCTTAAGAAGTAGTCTTTGCTAAGTGAGCATTCAGGTAACTAAACTACTGCACAATGAAATGTTTCAGGAGGCCCAGCAATCCCCTATTCCTGGAGCGTCACCTGATGGCATCTCACCCCTACAGCTGCTTTTAGCTTGCTGTTGATTCCTAGATTCCCTTCTGAACTGGGACACAAGTGCTCTCCAAAGACAGGCTGCTTTTGGGATGTGAGGGCCTTTTTAGCTCCCCAAATCCTTAGGCCAGGCTCTCTAGACAGGAGGACAGGGAAGATTTACAAAGCCCACATGAAGCGGGGAAGCAGCTCAGGCCCTCCCTAGGTCCTCATCAAGGTTTCCTGACTGCCAGGCGAGGGTGGATGCAGACCTCCGGACACCAGACCCTGCAGGAGAGGATCCCTGGGTGGGCGAGCATCTGCAGACGTGGCCGGGCACGGTGCCAGCAGCTGGGGCAGGACTGATATGGCCCAGGCTAAGCTGACAGGCTGTGGGATGCAATCCTTTGTTTTCATGCATTTCCTTTTATCCCGTCCCCCTTCCCCACTGGTGACAATTAGTCTTTGTTTTATAGACTTCTGGTTGGATGATATCCCTATATGTACTGAACGTACGGATTTGTACATGGCTCGTTCTGTTTCTTACTCTTTTCGCTCCTCATTCTGTTGTGAAGCCTCAACCACACTGCTACACGTCTGTCTCATCTGTTGCTTCCAACTGCAGCACAGTGCTTGACAGCATGCATCAAAAAAACTACCTTCTCAAAACACCGTGCTGATAGAACACACAGGGCAGCCAGTTTGAGAGCCTTACTCCGCAGCGTCACATTAGACAGCAGTGCCACAGGGCATCCGGGAATACGCGCACCATGACTGCACGCTACGCAAAGACACGTCAACGGGTGACGAAATACAAAAACAAAGCTATTTCTGGCTGGGCACGATGGCTCACGCCTGTAAATCCCAGCATTTTGGGAGGCTGACGTGGGCAGATCACGAGGTCAGGAGTTCGAGACCAGCCGGGCCAACATAGTGAAACCCCATCTCTACCAAAAATACAAAAAAAAAATTGGCCAGGTGTGGTGGCATGTGCCTGTAGTCCCAGCTATTTGGGAGGCTGAGGCAGGAGAATCGCTTGAACCCAGGAGGTACAAGTTGCAGTGAGCCGAGATTACGCCACACTGCACTCCAGCCTGGGTGACAAAGTGAGACTCTGTCTCAAAAAACAACCCAAAGCTATTTCTTTAGGAATGCCCGTTTTTTGTGCAATTTTTGAAATAGATAAACCCTAGGAGGAGCCTCCTTTAGGGAGGGGCTCCGACTCTGTCGGGGGTGGGAGGAACATACCCACTTGGGCATCTTGCCCCCGTCGGGGTCGTGGTGGTGGTACTGCAGCACGATCACCGTCACCACCACCGAGAGGCCCACGATGATCATGGTGCTGGCGAAGTACTGGGCTGTGGAGAGAACAGATGCAGGGTGAGACGCGGCGCTCCTGCGGCACTGAACGTCACAGGACAGGCACACCCTGACCAGGTTCTCTGACCGTCAGGGCCTCAGGATGCAGTGATGCCACGGGCGGAGCAGACGGCCTCCTGTCACCAGCCAGGCCTGCAGCCCACATTCTGGGTGCGCAAAACCAGCCAGCGTGGTCTGACTTCCCACCCACGGAGTGGCCTTCCCTCACTTCACTGCACTTCCATGCCCTCTGGCCTCCCTGTCAGCCAATAAGAGCTAGCATCGCCTGACAGGATGGTGATAAGGTGGTTCCTGTGAGTAAATACTGGATGTCAGGGCATGGGAGCCATCCAGTGTTTATGATGCAGGCCTCTACTGTGCTCCAGGGGCACAATGAGGGCAAACCTGCACACCACCTGGCTGCCAACTGTCCAGCCTGAGGAAGGGGTCAGTGGCAGGGACTTTTCAAGACGAGAACTTCAGTCTCAGCTTTGGCTCTAATGGGCCATGCGTGTCCTTCCACCTGGGCTCACGTGAGAAGCAGCATGGAGCATCTGAGTGCTTCCACCCTGGTCCACTAGCTACTGGTTGTGAGTTTGGAGTGAATGCTCAGCCTCTTTGGGCCTCAGCTCTTCAACGGGGGTGGTGCAAAGGATGACGTTTGCGTCTCCCAACAAAGTTCATGTGTTAAAACCCTAGTCCTAACTGGGATGGTATCTGGAGGTGGGGCTTTGGGACGTATGAAGATTGTGATTTATAGTAAGAAATATGTATTTGGTCTTCCATTTCCTGGCACACAGCTCCTAAAACCTTTGAATCTCTGAAGTCATCAGTGTCTTTTTATATGCTAATAAGATGACTTATGGCTGAAGTTCCTGGATACCCTCAGGATGGGGTTTGGTTGCCAGGGGAACCAGTCAAGTAATTAGAGAGTTGGAACCTTCAAGCCCTGTCCCCTCTCCCAACCCTTGACCACTGGGGAGGAAAGACGTACTGGGGGTTGAGTTGGTCACCAGTGGCCAGTGATGTAATCAATCATTCCGACGTAGTGAAGCCTCCATAAAAACCCAAAAGAATGGAGTTCTTTGGAGACCTTCCCAGTGCTGAACACGTGGAGGTGTCTGGAGGGTGATGTGCCCAGAGAGGGCATGGAAGTTCCATGCCCCTTCTCAAATACCTTGCCCTGTGCATTTCTTTCATCTGATTGTTCATCTGTACTTTATAATTAGTGAATAAGTATAAGTAAAGTGTTTCCCCGAGTTTACTAGAGTAAGCCACTCTAGTAAATGGCTGAACTCAAAGATGTGCTTTTGGGAACTCCCTGATTTATAGAGTTGGTCAGAAGCATGAGAAGCCGGAAGTTCTAACTGGCATCTCAAGTGGAAATGATCTTGTGAGCCTTAATCTGTGAGTGCTGTGCTAATTCCAGGTGGCATCAGGACCGAAGTGAACTAACTGTACGACACCCAGCTGGTTTCCAAGAATTGGTCGATGTGGGAGAAACGCCCCCCTTTGATGTGAGAAGTGTTGTGTAAGTAGAGAAATGGTGAGTGATTTTCTCAGGGTCCTTGAAGAGGTCCTGAGGGTGCAGCCCTCATGGATGGGATTAGAGTCCTTCATGAAAAGAGGCTAAAGAGCTAATTCACTCTTTTTGTCATGTGAGGCCACAACGAGAAGAGGGTCATCTGTAAACCAGGGAGTGGTCCCTCACCCGAGCCCTGCTGGCACCCTTATCTAGGACTTGCAGCCTTGCAGAACTGTGAGAAATAAATGTCTGTTGTTCAGGCCCCCAGTCTACAGCAATTTGTTATGGTAGCCTCCATTAAAATAGAAACCCCTTCCTTGCAGCACTTGTGCAGTGATGAGCAATTACACAGGCCAAGATGTCTAGGAGAAAGGAGGCGGCGTTCTTTAGTGGGCAGCTCTGATTATTAAACCTTTGGTGTGGCTGTCTGCTCAAGAGACTGAGCTCTAAGCAGCAAGCATCAGGGTGCAGGAGGCTAAGCGTTCAGCTAGCCCTCACTGGTCCTCATGCCGGGAAGGAACTCGCTGTCTTCCTACAAAGACCAAGAGGTACCTGGGAGGAGCTTTGCCAGAGGTGGAAGTTCAAGACCTAAAGTTAGCGTCAGGGCTCCTGAGAAAAGGAAGGAGGCTGGAGCAAACCATGACCCTTATGAGCTGAATTGTGCTTCCCCCTAGAATTCACATGTTGAAGCCCTAACCCCTAGTGCCCTAGGATGTGACTGGACTTGGAAATAGTGTCCCTAAGGAGGTAATTAAGTACCATTAAGTCAAGTCCTAATCCAATCTGACTGGTGTTCTTTTAATGAAGAAGAGGAAATGTAGATACAGAGAGAGATACCAGGGATGCAGGTGCACAGAGGAACTACCAGGGGAGGACAAAGCATGGTGAAAGTGGTTGTCTGCAAGCCCGGGGGAGACGTCTCAGGAGGAACTACCAGGGGAGGACAAAGCATGGTGAAAGTGGTTGTCTGCAAGCCCGGGGGAGACGTCTCAGGAGGAACTACCAGGGGAGGACAAAGCATGGTGAAAGTGGTTGTCTGCAAGCCCGGGGGAGACGTCTCAGGATACACCATCCCTGATGGCCCCTTGGTCTTGGACTTTCAGCAGTGCAACTGTGAGAAAAGAAATTTCTGTGATTTAAGCCCCCAACTATTTTGTCATGGCAGCCTGAGCAGACCAACCACCTATGGAGAGAGGGGGGTCAAAGGATTGCCCAGACTGAAATTCCATCAACAGGGACAAAGCTGATGTCCCTGGGGCCACTAGCATCCCATCCTTCTAGATGTGGGCTATGCACCAACCAAGCCTTTCCCAGCAGGTAATCAGTCCAGAGAGGGCCTGACAACTGTCCCAGGAGGGGTGGCTGCAAATCTCTGCTGAAAGCAGTATGCTGGAAGGTAGAAAGAATGGAGTCAGAACCGGGTGGAGAGGTGGTTCTTCCCTGTCTGATGGTATCAAGAGAAAAATGATACCCACAAAGGCTTTTCATACCAACAGTTTCTCTGGCCAAAATACTGCACATACAGGGAGTTCCCCAAAGAAGGGCCTTGGCTGCTTGGTTCCCAAAGCCTGGGGGTATCCAGGTAGGGCTCTCCCTCTAGCCCACCCCCAGGCAGACACACAGCGTGGGTCCTCAAATAGCGGGCCAGCAGGTGTAATGCGTCTGTATACCTCCTTCCGACCTTCACTGCCCAATGGGAGTGGAGACTCTGGTTTTTGTTGTCCCTCCTTGGGCAGAGGGTCATGCCTTATACCTGTGCAAAATATATTTCTCTCATTCATATTTCCCTAAACACTTTTATTTTATACAGAAACATTGAGTTATCTCAGGACACAATAAACGTGTGCTTCTCCCATTTTAACAAAGGCTTTTTGGGTAAACAACATCTTAAGCTAAGATGATGCATCTCTAATGATAAAATATCTGGCTTCAAAGCAAGCATGAGGAGGAGAATTATGAGGGGAAGGGAGGCATTTCTGCAAGTTAAAAGTCAAACCTCACAGCTGAATATCCCCTTCCCCTTACTTGGGCCCAGGTGACTCTGAATAGTTACAGCAAATCATCACCTTCCAGAGAAAATGGGGGCAGTGCAGCCCTATTTCTTCTCGTTTCATCTGCTGGGAAATCCTGGGCACACCCTAACCCCATATCTCTGAGAGAGGAGCCCGACTCTTGCCTTACCTATCAATGGTACTGAATCAGATGTTGCGGGCATGATCTCAGCCACGAGCAGCATGAAGACAGTGAGAGAGAGTAAGACTGTTATCCCTAAAACATAAACACACAGCGGTTCCTCAGACAAAACAGACAAGAACGCCTCAATTCTATCCAACGAGGGCTCCTAACCTGACACTCAAAGAACGAGGGATGGTGGTGCTGGGGGATGCTGTGGAATGCATGTTTTGGGCGTGTGCATTTTCCAGGGGACATTCTATGCCACTTACCAGAGTCCCAAAGGAGTCTCTTATGGAGACAAGTTTAGGACCCAGAATTTTAAAAGCATCAACACAAACTGAAAAATTTAACTTAGCACAATTATCTCTCATATTTTTTGTAAACTATTATTGAGAAATAGCTTCACGTAGCAGGAAAAAGAAAACGTGCAGTCAGGAGACCTGGTTTCAGGCCTTAAGTTTGCTACTCAGCTAGCTATGTGGCCTTAGATATAACATTCAACCTTTCTAAACCTCATACTCAGAAGACATGGGTTTGGGAATAATTTCTACTATGTGCTACATCTGATGTTTAGTAACTCTTTAAGATATTGAGAAACTCATCCCACCATTCGAAATCTTGGTTTTCTTAGCTTCGTATGGGGGTGATCATAAGAATCACGCTGTGTACTGCAACAAATGCAAGCTGATACTAAGCTAAATTGTTCCCTTGATGACCAGTTGCCATCAAGGAACAGGTGGGGTGGCAGGAGGGAAGAAAGCACAGGCTCCTTAAGGCAGATTGGAGCTGGCCCCTCCCCGTGCATCCCCCCCATCCTCTGAGGGTCCTCCAGTATTCTCAGGATCACACAGCCGTCCAGCACGGAGCCCGAGTCAGGGACCTCCGGTGTCCTGGAGCCACCCCGGGCTAGGAGGTCTGTGTGCGATGAGCCAGGTAATCCCCGGGAACCCTGATGGAGTCCTGAGCTGTCTGCTGTGAGCCCTCCAGAGCTGACCTCAGCAGAGGGGCCTCCAGTCTCAGAGACCCGGGTGCTTACCCAGGGAAATCTTCTCCCCGGAATCTGCAGGAAGCAGGAACACCAGCAGGGCAAGGGCAGAGATGAGCACACAGGGGATCAGCAGGTTGAGGCCGTAGTAGAGGGTCCTGCGGCGCATGGTCACTGTGAAGGTGACATCGGGGTAGGGCTCTTTGCAGCACTCATAGAACTTTTCACTCCTCTTGCCGGGAATTCCTCCATAGGGAGGAGAGAAGGAGCCATTGTTAGAATACAATAAATTACCCTGTTTATTTCAATGTGTATACCACACACAAGCATAGCCCTAAAGTTTGCAAAGTGCTAAAAAAAAAAGGGGGGGGTGTAATTAGCTTGAATAAAACCTGCTGATTTACTATAGCGTTAAGAGTATTTTAGTGATAGTTGGCCAAATTGGTAGATATTCTTTTGGTGGATTGGAAACACATGATTATAATAATATATTACCAATTTTACAGTTATAAATATAATCATTGTTTTTTATTTAAAATAATCAAATATAGGTTCCCATCAACTGAAGTTTGCCGTTCAACTTGCTTTTAGAAATGGAGTGGATCTGAATAACGTAGAGATATCTATCCTCACACTGCTTTGTTTAAATGCACTCTCACTACAAGTGCCAGTTCCTCTTGGAAAGCATGGCATATCCTAATTGTTTTCTGTTTCTCCTCCTATAGCTCTCACTAAATAATGGAGACTACTGCAAAACTCAATAAATACTCACACTGAAAAGGACAGTGGAAAATCCCAAACTTTTAAAGCCTGCCCAGGAATAGAAAAGCTTTCTTCCAGGCTGTCAGTCTCATGGCTTACCCACTAGGTCCCATTCTCCACTGGGGATATAGCCACTGATATCTGCCTCCTGCATCTGCAGATCCAAGGACCAGCCTCCATAAGACCAGGATCCAAACTTCAGTTTGCAATGCTGCACATCAAAGGGAAACCAGCGCACATCGATGTAGCAGGAACTCTTGAATATGCCTGTGTGGGTGACGGAAACAGAAGACTGAAACGAAAGCTGATCGAGACGCGCTCAAAATACGCCACAGTTCCTTCAGCCGGTTCCGCCCTCTGCACTGCAGCTAACGCAGTCCAGAGCAAACTGAAGCTGTCTCTTTATTTAATTGCAAAATCTTTAAAACAGAATCTCAGCTCAGCTTCACTGTCTTTTAAAATCCAAACGTAACACTGACATGCTCTGTCAAAAACTGTTTTGTGGGCTTTTTGTGCAAAAAGTTAGCTCTATAATCTTGCATTTACCATGAGCATCTTCAGACTCTAAATAATAAAAGTAAAGAATGCAAAATATCTCAGAGAAGTTGATAACAATGATGATGAGGTTAGAAATAGAATCTAAAAGGTGTGTGGGTGTTGTGTGGGGTGAGGTGGGCATTTTCTTTAGGTTAAAAATTGGAAGAACACATGATTATCGAGAAATATAATCTAGAATTCTGGTTAAAGCTAGAATTTTAACTAATTTAAATTCTAGACCAAGAACAGAACAAGCTGGGCACCGTGTCTCATGCCCATAATCCCAGTGACTCAGGACACTGAGGTGGGAGGGTCACTTGAGACTAGGAATTTGAGACCAGACTGGGCAACACAGTGAGACATCTCTAATAAAAAAATTAGCTGGGTGAGGTGGTGCATGTCTGTAGTCCCAGCCAGTCAGGAGGCTAAGGCAGGAGCATTGCCTGAACCCAGGAGTTTGAGGCTAAAGTGAAGCGAGCTATGATCGAGCCCCTGCACTCCAGCCTGGGGAACACACCTAGAATCTGAAAGAAAAAAAGTTAAAAAATAAAAACAAACAGATAAGTTTAAGCTGAAGAGATGGTGCTTGAAGGAAGAGTTTCCACTGAAAAGAGCTATTCCAGGCTAGGACAGGTTGGAAGTGGATTTCCCAGAGGGCCATGGGGAGGAAACCAGAAGAGGCCACTCCAGTTATTTACGCTCATGTGCTCTTCCTGGCCCAGAGGAAGGCTGCATGGCACAAGAAGACAGGCACAGACTCAGTGTCCAGGTGTTCCTGGGGCAGGGCTGGCGCTCTGCAAATTGCTGCTACTCAGTTACAGAAAGAATGCATGCAGGAAGGGCCTCCATAGCCTTGCAAAGAAGGACCCCACCCCACAACCGAGTTGGGAAAAGATACACATTCTGTCCCTGAAGTTCCTTTAAGTATGATTTGCGTCCTTACATGAAATGTTTATAGGAATCTGGAATCATCAGACAATCCCCCTCCATTAATGGTTGGATCCCCCCAAAACCCACATTGTCTGCCAGTTAGAAAGCTTTGTAACTTCATGAGTCCATTTCTACGAAATGGCCCGAGACAGAGAATTTCTGAGACAGAAAGCAGATCAGTGGTTGCTGGGAGTAGGAATGGGAATTAACTGCAAACAAGCAAAAGGGATCTTGGTGGGGTGATGGGAATGTTCTAAAACTAGACTGTGGTAATGGTTGCATAATTCTGTAAATATACTAAAAATTGTTGAATCATGTACTTAAAATGCATGATATGTAAATTCTCTCTCAATAAAGCTGTTAAAAAATAAACACATGAAATGGGGGGAAAAGTCATGTTATGATCAAGTCTCTATTTCAAAGCTTGAACTCATTTTTTTCTACCCCTACCCCTCTAACTACAGACAGGGCAGCATCCTGGGACTAGTTCTACATTCCCAGGGAGCAGGCAAGGGGTTTCCAAACCAGGCAGCCCTGGGCCTTTCCTGCCAGTGTAAGGAAGCCCCTCATGGTCACAGGACAGCGTGTCCTGTCCTGACCAGAATCCAGGGACACTGCAGTGGGGACGCAGGCCTGGAGGCCCAGAGGGGGCTGCTGTACTCGGACAGCTCGAGGCTTGCAGTGCTCCTCCTGCAGCTGAAAATAGCCTCAGCCTTCCAAACCACCTGCAGCAGCATATTCTACACTGGTGACTACAAGGGCTAAAATAGCCCTCATAACAGAAGATGCAACGTGCAGGCCTGGTGAGAAAGACCTTGGGAGTGACGGAAGGCTCCCCCACTACCCGCGTCTGCAAGGGTCCTGCTGGTAGGAGGAAATGCCAGGGCTTGCAGGAAAGCGGATGCTTCGAGAAGCCTGAACAGCTGGACTTCTTCAATCTGTTCCAATATTATTGGGAGGTTCACTCGCTCCTTTGTTCATTCAGGGGTAAATGCTAAGGTGAGCAAAGGCTGACTCTGCCCCCGGAGGCTATTCACCTGCTGACAGGGAGGGCAGGTAGACGGCAACCCAGAAGGCAGAGCCAGCCTAGCCGCGGCAGTGCGGTGTGAGTGCGGCCGTGTCTACGTGAGGGTGTGCGGTGTGTAATAGTGTGTAGTATATCAGAGCGCATGAGGTGTGTATGTGGTGTGACACATGTAAATGTGTGAGGCGTGTGTGAGGATGTGGTGTGAGATGTATATGTGTGTAAGTTTAGCTGATGTGTGAGGTGTGTGTGAGTATATGAGTGTGTATGGGTGTGTGCATGTGTGCGTGTGAGCATGTGTAAGTGAGCATGTGAGCGTGTGTGTGTGTGCATGTGAGCATGAGCGTGTAAGTGTGGTGTGGGTGGTGTGTGTGCAGTGACTGCGAGATGTGCGTGAGTGTGTGTTGTATGTAAGTGAGGTATGTGTGTGGCATGTGAGTGGTGTGAGTAGTGTATCTGGTTTGAATATGCATATGTGAGTGGTGTGCGTGTGAGGGTTGTGAGTCGTGTATGAGTGGTGTGTATGAGGATGTGAGTGGTGTGTGAGTGGTGTGTGTGTGAGGGGTGTGTGTTAGTGGTATGAGTGGTGTGTGTGAGTGGTTTGTGTGTGAGTGGTATGTGTGGAGTGGTGAGTGGTGTGTGTGGGTGGTGCATTTGTGTGAGTGGTGTGTGTGTGGGTGGTATGTGGTGTATGTGACTGGTGTGTGTGTGGTATGTGTGTGAGTGGCATGAGTGGCGTATATGTGTGAATGGTGTGTTTATGAGTGGTGTTATGTGTGGGTGGTCTGTGTGTGGTGTTTGTGTTAGTGTGAGTGGTGTGTGAGTGGCGTATATGTGTGAGTGGTGAGTAGTGTGGGTGGTGTGTGTGAGTGGTGTTAGTGTGTGGGGGTGGTATGTGAGTGGCATGTGTGAGTGGTGTGTGTGAATGATGTGTGTGTAGGTGGTTGTGTGGTGTGAGTGGTGTGTGTGGTGTGAGTAGTGTGTGGGTGGTGTGAGTGGTGTTTGTGTGAGTAGCGTGTGGGGGTGGTATGTGAACGACGTGTGTCAGTGGTCTGAGTGGTATGTGAGTGGTGTGTGTGATGTGTTAGTGTGTAGGTGGTGTGTGGGGTGTTTGTGTGGAGTGTGTGTGTGTGGTATGTGTGTGAGTGGCACGTATGAGTGGTGTGTGTGTGAGTCGTGTGTGAGTGGTGTGAGTACTGAGGTGTGTGCGTGGGAATGGTTGTGTGAGGGGTGAGTGGTGAGTGGTTGTGTGGGTGTTTGTGTTAGTGTGAGTGGTGTGTGTGAACGGTGAGTGGTGTGAGTAGTGTGTGGGTGGTGTGTGTGAGTGGTGTTTGTGTTAGTATGTGGGGGTGGTATGTGAGTGGCGTGTGTGGTGTGTGTGATGCGTGTGTAGGTGGTTGGTGTGAGTGGTGTGTGTGTGTGTGGTGTGAGTAGTGTGTGGGTGGTGTGAGTGGTGTTTGAGTAGTGTGTGGGGGTGGTATGTGAATGACGTGTGTCAGTGGTGTGAGTGGTGTGTGTATGAGTGATATGTGTTAGTGTGTATGTGTGTGTGGGGTGTGTGAGGAGTGTGTGATTGTGAGTAGTGTGTGTGGATGGTGTGTGTGTGAGTGACATGTATGAGTGGTGTGTATGTGAGTCGTGTGTGAGTGGTGAGTACTGAGGTGTGTGTGGGAATGGTGTGTGTGTGAGGGGTGAGTGGTGTGTGAGTGTGTGTGAGTGGCTGTGAGTGGTGTGTGTGTGAGGGGTGAGTGGTGTGTGAGTGGTTGTGAGTGGTGTGTGTGTGTGTCATATGTGTGAGTGGTAGTTAGGTGTGGAGGTAATTTCAGGTTGCCTCTGAACAGAAAGTTAAACAGTTGCAGTGTGGGAGATCACCCTGGAATAAACACATTAAAAATCTTCTAAAAGATCAAAAACCCCAGCTTTCATCTCAATATGCTAGCGCGCACTCTGCATGCACCTCCAGGCCATAAACCTATTTCCCTTGCCCTGTGAATCCGACTGAAAAAATGAGTCGGTGAGAAAGAACCAATCCAGGGGGCACTTAGCCTTGGAGGTAGAGAGAGAGGAGAGAGACTGCTGGGAAGAAGTCAGTCGCTAGAGAGCTCTCCCTTGAAACCACCAGACCTTGCCTGTAACCTGCATGTGCTCTTCAGTGCACACCCAGGCTCCCGGAACTGTCACATCTCACCCCCAGCAGCTGGACTGCTGCACCTGCCAAGACAGTGAGTCCCGCGGGAAGGAGGATGGCGAGCGGGAACGGGGAAGCAGAGCCTGTGGCTTGCAGGCTGGAAGGTGAGGTGGCTACTGCCTGGCAAAGGAGACTTGCTGTACTTGTACATTGGCTTTAAGGCACACATGGTGGAAAATAAGGACACATTGGCAAAGACGGCTTGATTGAGACAAAAGAGGACGATGACTTCTGGGGGTAGAAAGCACATAGAAGCACAGAAAAGAGAGAGGAAGTGGTGGGAGTGAGCAGAGGCGAAGCAAAGAGCTGGTCCCCCACACGGGGGACACCGGCCAGACACCCAAACTCGCTTCAATCTTCTAACTGGAAGAGGACAAAGAAAGTGCAGCTTACCTGGAGGCAGGTACTGGCAATGCCCAGAAGAATTCACCAACACGTTGGTGTGGAATGTGGCGTCAAAGCGCTCATCCGCACTAGAAACAGGAAAAGGATGCATGAGCCAGTGCCACCAGGCTGTGGATTTCCCGAAGCCCCGGGGTCTGTCTTCGCTGGTGCAGCAGAGTCCTTGAGAGGGGCCCCTGTCTGTCCTCACAACCCCACACCCCGCCTGAGAGCACCACTGGGGCTGGCCTGGGAGGTCTTCCAGGAGCACAGCTTGGAAGGGGCCAGTGTCTACCCCCATTTCAATTTTCACACTGAACTGTAATTTTTTTCACAATGTATATAAAATCAAGCTCTTAACCAAAATGAAACCTGTAAACAACTTTGGAGAACATCGGCAGATGTGACATTTTCACGATATCTAGAAAAACAGAGGGTGGGTGAGGCACGCTGCCACCCTGTGAGCCTCCTGGGGCAGGGTTTTCACTCGCTGTGTCCAAAGCTCTAGTTCCAGCCTCTTGAAGGGGGCCCACACTTGGTTCATGCCTCACATATATATCTTTTTTTTTTTTTTTTGAGACAGAGTCTCGCCCTGTTGCCCAGGCTGGTCTGCAGTGGCACGATCTCAGCTCACTGCAAGCTCTGCCTCCTGGGTTCACGCCATCCTCCTGCCTCAGCCTCCCGAGTAGCTGGGACTACAGGTGTACACCGCCACGCCCGGCTAATTTTTTGTATTTTTAGTAGAGACGGGGTTTCACCATGTTAGCCAGGATGGTCTCCATCTCCTGACCTTGTGATCCGCCCGCCTTGGCTTCCCAAAGTGCTGGGATTACAGGTGTGAGCCACCGCGCCTGGCCCACATATATATCTTGAATGACTGAACTGCAGTCGCAGGAGGGAGCTGGACACCACAACCCTACAGGGCTTCCAGCTCCAGTTAGCGATGAAAAGAAGGAAAGTGGGGGAAGACAATAGAAGTGCGAGTTTTAGATGGATGCACCTCTTCCCCTCTCCTTCCCCTGTTCCAGCCTCCTGCGGCCAGGAGCTAACAACTGGGATAAAGGACACACACACACATAGCAGCAACAGCAATTACACCAACAGCCTGTACTAGCCTTGTCTTCTTATATTTTCTGGATTCTGATGTGTTGACATCTGGGGCTTTGCTGACTCTGGAGGGCTCCTGGAGAGATAGTAAACAACTCCGGCCTTTCAAACACAAATCAATCAATCTAGAACCCATACACCCACCCAAACACATCCTTTATCAGGCTGTCACACTGGGGTTGACACCAGTCCTGCTCTCATCACTGCAGGACCAGGTAACACCCAACCAGGAAGAGTCCCTATGCCCCAGGGCCTACTGCAATTATTCTAAGGAGCCAATCCTAAGCCTAAGCCTGCGTGCCCTGCTCCTCCCTTCCTTCCTGCAGAAGCCACAATGAAGGAAGGCCCTTGCTCAGGTTTCCCATGCCTCCCTGTGTCCCTGCATGTGCTGGGCTGTGCTTCCTTTTTTTTTTTTTTTTTTTTTGAGATGGAGTCTCACTCTGTTGCCCAGGCTGGAGTGCAGTGGTGTGATCTCGGCTCACGGCAACCTCTGTCTCCCGGGTTCAAGCAGTTCTCCTGCCTCAGCCTCCTGAGTAGCTGGGATCACAGGTGCACACCACCACTCCCAGCTAATTTTTGTATTTTTAGTAGAGACAGGGTTTCACTATGTTGGTTAGGCTGGTCTCGAACTCCTGGCTTCGTGATCCACCCCCGCCCCCCGCCACTCCCCTTAGCCTCCCAAAGTGCTGGGATTACAGGCATGAGCCACTGCGCCTAGCCTGTGCTTCTGCTTCTAAGGAACTGTAAAACTGTTTTCCTTTAGGACAGTCACTTCTGTGTCTGAATGTCTCACCATGCCTGATTAAAATCAACCCTGGGTACCCTTAAAACACAGCCCTACTGGTAAAGAAAAATAAACCACCTCAAAAAAAAAAACACACACACACAGGCAGTTGGTCAAAGTATTAGCACCCCAGAGTAAAGCTTCCCTCATTTTGGCCACCGTGGCCCCTGCAGGAGCTGCCCACGACTACAGAGCTTCAGGTAGCCTCTCCCATGTCTGAGATTCCCCCAAGGGGAAACTCAGAATCAGACACCGGAGGACAGTCTTCAGCATGCGACACACATGGAGGATACACACCAAAAAAGATCCAAGAAGAATGAGTCAATGAAAAGGAGGAAAAATCACTTCTTAAAAAAGTAATGTCCTCACAAAATTCAAGAGGATATAGCCATTAGAAAAACAGAAAAATGGCAATTAAAGGTATAATTTATGAAATAACTTTTTACGAGTGGGTGGGAGGTTTGGATGATGGAAATCACAGAGATCAAATGTAACACAGAAAGAAGACGGCATAGAGGACAAGGCCGGGGGAACTCGCCTCACCCACAGAAGCTCCATCAGGGAGAGTGGGAGGGAGAAAATTACTCAAGAAATAACACGAAGACACTTCTCACAGCAGGAAAACCACCCAAGCATGAAGGCAGAAACGGGTTTCTAAGAACACTAAGGCCTTCAAGAGCTTGTTCCCAACATATATTTCCTTGGTCAGCTTTGGAACAATGAGAGTGAAAACTGAGAAAGAAGAAATACACTTTTAGACTAAACCTGGAGATCAATAAAAGAGATTTAGAGGATGACTTGAGCAGGAGACCTAGAAAAAGGTGGGTCCAAATCCTGGCAAGATGTTAAGGTAGTGAGGACAGAATCAAATGGGTTCAGAGCAAGACAGAGGAGATATAATGAGCTGAAAAACATCACGGACTTGATTGAGGACACAGTTTAAAAAATTCTTGTAATAAGAAAAAAGGCAACTGGAAACTCTAGGAAAAGATTAATAACTGTACAAGGAAGCCATGATTTGAATATGAAACAAGAAAAACGTGATGAAGTTTAAGGGAAGGAAGAAAGGGGGAGAAGTGGGGAACTGGGGAGAGTGAGAGAAAAGAGAGAGGGAGAGAAGGCAGGAGCCAAGCTGTCACGAAAGGACACATCCCCCCCGTACTTCCAAACACACATAGGGAAAGAGACAGCAGGAGGTAGGATCAAGATGTAAATATTCTTTGCTCGACCGTTGTCTGTATCTGACTGTTAATGAGTCACATTATAAACAGTGATTGGGCACAAAATAGCTGAAAATGTGGACCTTCACAACCTCACTCTGGATAGTATCACGATCTTCAAGCTAGATTCTCTGGAGCCCTCAGATCCTACAGAGGCGCCTCAAGGTTTCTGAAAATATTCACCTTCAATATTTTAGTGCCTTTGCATTTGAAAATGGTAATAAATGTCACACACTCAAATGACTATTAACAAAATTTTAACTCTTAGAGACTACCATTGTGTTAATTTATGTGTCCTGTTTAACTTCTTTTTGCATGGAAGTTAAACTAAAGCCTCTCTGGCCATGAATGTGTATGCATTTGAATCTCTTATAAAGGAGTCACCAAATGAGATTTCAGCTTTGCATTGCTCTTTTAAAAAATTAAAGTCTGTGCTTCCAATTACATGGCATCTAAGCTGTAGCAGACGTGGGATGCGTTCCCCCATCAATCACCCTCGGGAGCAGCAAAACAGAAAGCATGGTCTACAGGCTGTGCACAGTGGCCCATGCCTATAATATTAGCACTTTGGAAGGCCCAGAGGGGAGGATCATTTGAAGCCAGGAGTTTGGGACCAGCCTGGGCAACAAAGCAAGACCCCATCTCTACAAAAACAAAACATAAACAAAATTAATCAGTGCGGTGACATGAGCATAAGTTTCAGCTACTCAGGAGGCTGAGGCAGGAAGATTAGCTGAGCCCAGGAGTTTGAGGCTGCAGTGAGCTATGTCTGCATCTCTGCACTCCAGCCTAGGAGACAGAGTGAGACCCTGTCTCTAATAAAATAAAATAAACACATAAATAAATATTTTTGAAAGAAAAATACATTAAAAGTTAAGAATAGTGTGGTTTGATGCATGTTATGGGGAACAAAGTTTTGCTTATTTTAAGCTTGGGTTTCTTCCTGTCTGATTTTCATATTTATAATCAAGACTGAGCATCTGTTAGATCAGTGATTCAACTCTGAAAAAAAAAAAAAGTTCCTACAAGCCTTTCTTTCAAGCATTTGGATCAATGTAATTGAAGAGACTCTTGAGATCACAAGGCAAATAGGTAAAAACAAGATAAAAAAACTGTTGCTATTAGCAACAGCTTACCTGTGACTCAGTGATTTGTGACTCAGTGATTTCTGAATGTTGTTCATCCAAACAGAATATTGAGCTACATGAAATTGTAACACATAAATGTTATCAAAATCCAAATCTTAATACCCATGATGGTAGTTTTACGCTTCTTTCCCATAGGCAAATTGATTTTATAAGTACATAGTATAAAAGTAAACTCTTGTAATGGATTTGTGCTAATACTACTTTCTCTGTTCTGAGCATCAGGGGTGGAGATAAGATGGGTTTGAAGAAGGGCCCTGTTGCTGAAAATTGAGTTCGAAAACAGCGATCTGAGGTGGGAAATGAAGAACCTCAGAAATGTGAGTGGCTAGAACCCCTACAAGGACCTCAGTGGCCACAACACTGGCACAGCTTCCCCGGGGATGCCGGACGGATGCCAGCCAACAGTGACCCCATCACCAGTGCAGGGCAGCCCTGTGCTGGCAAACATCCAGAACCGTGGAAAGAGGGGTGGGGCTGCAGGGTTTCATTTGTCTCCTCACTCCTCTTCTGTGTGTATTTAAACCGTTCTGTATTAAATAGTCTGAAAAAGGTCAAATATATTCTTTTTTTCGACTACTGGGGGAGACAGTACATCCGCGATTTGTGAGGATGCCGGCCTGTGGCCTCCCCGTCCTTGCAGGAGCTGCCTTTATCTGGCTGCCTTTGTCCTCCCACAGCCAGCAATGACTGGGGCTCACTCTTGGTGTGAGGAGAGCTCTGAGCCCTACCCCCACCATGGAGGGGGCGACTGGGGCAAATTTAACTCAAACATGTAGGATGCAAGCTACATGTCCTTCGTGGGGGTAGGAGGAGGAGAGGTGTCTGCCTAGGAT